AATCAAAACAAAACAAAGGCTTTAAAGAATTTCTAATCTGGTAAGAAAAAATAATTATGATCACAAATATAATATACTTGAAGGTACATAAACATTTTATATGTTCAGAGGTTGTAGCAGTCTTTTAAAAATAATAAAGCATAGATGGGATTATAATAAGTAGCTTATTCACTCTGCTACTAGTCATTTAATACCTTCTATGGTCAAATCATTGAGCTAGGTAGGGGGCATAACAATAATAAAACAAATATGGTTCCCATCTTCATAAGGAGAAACAAGTAATAAACTAATGTAATTAATCTCAGTGGGAAAAAGATATTTTAAACTGTGTATCTACAAGCCATAGAAAGTGGGAAGACTGGTCAGGTAAGGCCTAATGAATGAAGGATCATTCAGGATAAGACCTGAACTTGATCTCCAGGTAAGAAGTCAGCTTTTCAAACTATGTGTGTGAGCATGTGTGTGTCTTAAAGAGGTCTAATCCCAGGAAGCAGCACATAATGAATTAAACATAATGACTTGAAGGTATAAAAAGTTCACTGTCCACGTGATTGAAGGTTGTTGAGCAATCAAAAATGATAAAGACGGAATGAGAAAAGTAGTAATTCAATTCCACAGATGAAAGTGATTGAAGGTGATTCCACAGATCAAAGAAGTGGCAGATTCAGGATATATTGGAATAAAAGCAAATATATTATTTGGCTATAGGATGAGATTAATGCAAATAACATTTCTAAATCACCTTCTTGTTGAAGGTCTTAACTCAATATTTACTACTTGGTAAGAGATAGGTTTCCTTTTCATGTATAAAAGGACTAAAAGCCTTATTAATAGGATCATAATGCTAAAAATTCAAGTTACACATTTTAACTTAACTCAAACCAGTACCCTAGTTTCTACTGCACAATAAATAATAATGAGAAATAAGGTTAAAAGACAAACCATGTTAAATATCAAGCTAAGAAATACGGGCTTTATTTAAGGACAAAAAAATGGTTATTAAAATCTACATACATACCTTTGTCCTTCTTAAAATCCAAAGCATCTTCTTTATCAGTCACTATTTCCTTCATATTGATAATACTCTGGTGTGTAAGCTGCCGGAGAATTTTAATTTCTCGAATGGCTGTAATTGGAAAGCCTTCTTTTTCATTATCCAAACGCACTTTTTTTAAGGCTACCATTTCTCCTATTAAAAGGTTAAATAAAATCAAGTTACCAGCTAACAAAATCAGATGACAATTTGCTTAATTTTAAATTTATTTTAATTCATAATTTCTGTTTTTATCTCTTAAAATTATAAACCCTAGGGCTGGGTTGTAGCTCTGTGGTAGAGCACTGGCCTAGCATGTGTGAGGCCCTGGGTTCAATCCCCAGCACCATATAAAATTAAATAAACAAAATAAAGGTATAATGTCCATCTACAACTAAAAATATATTTTTTTAATTATAATCCGTAAATTACACTTTAGTTTCCAACATACCAAATAATAATTGCAGTTTAAGAAATTAAGTCTCTCAAATAAATTTCAGAATATTTATACAACTCAAGAAATACAACTATTGGGAAGAATGAGATAGGTCTGTATATTTGTTGTTTTATATTCTCCAGTGGATATATTTAGTGAAAAAAACAAGATGCTAAAGTGTGAATATATTATACTACCATCAGTTTTTTTAAAAAGAAACAAAGGGTTAATATTCTTATATATACATAAAATATAAGAGAAAATATCCTCAAATATATCACTTAACCAAAGCTAACCAGTCATTTAGTAGTAAAACTGAGATTTAAAGTCTGGTTAGCTGTCTCAAAATATGTCTTTTGTCCTCCCACTATATTAAACTGTCTCATAATTTAGATATGAGCAGAATGTTTTCTCTAAGGAGGCTGACACACAGTGGGGGTAGGGAGGGGGAGCATGGGAGTAATAAACGAACTCTAGATAGGGTAGAGGGGTGGGAGGGGAAGGGAGGGCGCAGGGGGTTAGCAAGGATAGTGAAATGTGATGGACATCATTATCCAAAGTACATGTATGAAGACACGAATTGGTGTGAACATACTTTATATACAACCAGAGATATGAAAACTTGTGCTATATATATATATGTAATAAGAATTGTAATGCATTCTGCTGTCATTTATTTTTTAAAAATCAACTAAAAAATAAAAAAATAATTTAGATATGAATGAGTTTTGTATCAGACAAGATCTAATTAATAACACACATGGACACAGAGAAAACCTATCACAAGCTGCGTATCCATATTTAAAGGTTGAGCATCAACTGGTATAAGAAAAAATTCACTATAAAAATAAAAGTATGTTCATTTCACTTTGGAGGAAAAGAATTCTGTTCTTATAAATTTTCTGAAAGAAAAAAGTTTAATAATTTTTATCATTAAATCTTATTATATTCAATTTTATATCTTTCTATAACACAGTATGCTTCCTTGGTTTATTAAAGATTTTTAAAGTTCTAATCTAATGTAATCTAATCTAATCTCTTTTTGCTAATTGTTATTCTATACTGTAACTGATACATTACAGTTAATTCCCATACAATTGTCTCCTCTATACTAAATGTCCTCGAAGAGCTGGCAATTTTAATCTATTGGTTTATGTCAACAAAGAATTGTAATTAAAGAAATTTAAATACTACTTCTATGCATTACTGTATGCTTCTGACACAGCTACATTTTCTCTCCTTGCGAGTCTTATAAAACTTCCTCCCAGGTTACATTCTGAAAGATTAAGCTGGCAAATCTGGCCTCCAGGGATAATTTCCACAGGGGGGAAGATTTTTTTCTTCTTCTTCTTCTTTTTTTTTTTTAAACTATAGACAAATTCAAGTCAAGATACTTTTCCTCCAATTACTAATAGGTTAAGGGTTTGGGGGTGTATGTGTGTGTCTGTGTGCGTGCGTATGTGCGTGTATTTTATTCATCAAAACAGGAAAAAAAAACCCTAAACTGCATCATACGGCACATCACAAATATTAAAGAAACATTTTTGAAAATACATATGTATATACAACCACTTACATGTACACATTTCTATGTAAGTGAATACAAAATAAAATTAAAACAAGATAAAGGAACAGTAAATTGGAATTTTACATTTTTGCAAATTCCTAAAGCTATATATAGAAGAGAAACACAAAGTAAGTATATTCCACAGACCCAAAGATACCCAGAACTTAGCATTCTTACCAGTGTCTTTATCCCTGGCTTTGTAAACTTGTCCATAAGTACCTTCTCCAATAATTCCGATGATATCAAATTTATCCACACAGCGTTTTCCCCAGTCAATATCTTTTTCTTTGATTTCTCCATAGCGAGGCCCACATATTCTATTAAATACAGTTCTGAAGTTTTCATATACAATCAAGCAAATTGAACCAACTTTTTAATAAATCAATATCCATCCTCTACCTAATCTTATATCTATTGTTTTCCTTTGAATATACTGATTGTCTATTCAAGACAAATTAGACTGATTGGACATAAGCTATAAAAACCAAGGTATGATTTCAACATACTGACTCTTCTGTAGACCAGTACTTAAGCCAGGAAAGAGAAGTAGCATAGCATTTATTAAGGGATTTCAGAAATAAAATATAACTCCAATAAAAGCAACAATAGTAGAAAGAGTCAAAGTTCTGTACCCTAACCTCCAGAAAATTTTATCTTTCATTCACTGACAATATATTTATGCTATTGAAAACAAACACAAAAATCTAACTATAAACCCTAATGACAAATTTAGATTTTGAAGCTAGATGAAATAATCTTAAAAATGGAAACATTAGAAAAAAATCTGTTTAAGAGGCACCAACAGCAATCCACAGAGAATATATAAGATACGACCAAACTTATGCACTGTTCAAAAAAGATATTATTTTGTGAAATTTTAACATTGCAGAAGATCACAGAAAAGTCAAAGAATAATGCTGTGATAATTAAGGAGGCCACTTTTAAAGTTTCCTAGCTTTTTACTTACACTAAAAAGACTTCCTACTCTTATATTAGATGCTACCTAAACAGGAATTCTAAAGTAAAATATAACTCAAAAGTCTCACACTTTCCTTTGGTTAAGAATTTTTAAAAGGTAGTCAGTGTTTTATCTCTTAGAACTAATGAGAAGGTTTCAAGAAAAAAATTTTACCTAGGCACTTGTAGCTAATTTATTATACAGGTTTCAAACTTTCTCCCATAAATCTCTTGCAAAGAATGCATTTAGTTATGTGGGAAAGGAGTTGTACACATAGCAAAATAGCAGCTTGCCCAGTACTAATTTTGTTTGAGTTCAATGAACACTGACTTCCACCTTGTCTAATTTCAGTGTTTCTGTGTTATTTAACTCTATTATAAAATTATCTTTAACACACATAATACCCCAAGAAATTAATACATTACAAACATTGAAAGAAAATTTAACTTGGTTTTATTAGTTATATAATATAGATAAGTTTACAATTATAAAATTTTTTATTCAAAACTCTAATGGAACTTGTTTATATTTTTACGTTGAAAAAATAAATATACTTTACATTCTAAATTTTAATTTTGTGTTTTGTAAATTTATAATGGCCAGAATTGTTTCTGGTCAATTTAAGAGCAGGTAAAAAGCAAGCACATACTTAGGTCTTCTTTTACTATGTAACTGTGTTGCTGTTTTCTTTTCCTCTGGACTCTTTGAAAGATCATCTCCTCCGGGTAGCTCAGGGGGCAGTGGTAAATCAGCAAGTAGACATCGGAGTTTCTTCTCTACTTCTTTTTTAACAGCTTTTACTGAAATATTTCCTCTTAAGCTTAAAAAAAGGGGGGGGGGCACACAAATAAAACACCAAAATTTTTTTGTGCTCACATTTTTACATTTAAGCAGCATGCAATGGCCATGACTTTTCCATTCTATTTCACATTACAAGACACTAACTGGAGGATAACTAAGGAGGAGGACGACGACGACAAGGGGGACAGTAATCTGAATTTCTCTACTTTCCAACTAAATTATATACTATATTCAACTGAAAATTACAAAATTTAGAGGTAAAATGACAGAATTAGGAAAAAACTAAAGAAATCTGTACAAAGTAGGAACTTGAGTTAATATATTAATATTGACTTGATTATAACAAATGTAGCTTACAAAGGTAGGATACTAATAAGAAAGATGGAAACAAGGAAAATGAGGACTCTATAGAATCTTTTTAACTTTTCTGCAGATCTAAAACTGCTCTAAAAAATAATGTTGATCTTAAAAAACAATATATCCTTAATTTCAAAACTGTAATTAAAACTGAAAAAAATAAACTAATCAACTAACACCCTTTGCAGAAAAATTCATTCATTTTGTTAATATCATCTAGACTGATTTCAGTGGAGAAGCAAAAGATGTTTTCCTATAAGAAATAAATAAAACCACATGCTACATATAAATAACATGCTACTTCTTATCATGCATCTAAATAACCATAAACAACAACTAATTCATTTTTAGGTTCTCTAAATTAGCCGACGATTCTTCTAAAACTTTTTTTTAAGCCTCCAGCTCACTAAAATTACATGTGAAACTTAAGCTCAATTAGTTATATAATTTTATGAGTGCACTAAGAGCTATGATTTTTATATTATATCTTAACTTGATGCTTGATGATTTTAAATTTCCCAGATAACTAGAAAATTCGTATTCTGATAATGGCATGTTAAAAGAGAATCTTACAATCAAAATAAAATTTGGATTTTTTATATACTTTCAAAGCAGTTATGCATCTGATAATGAAAAAAATTAGTGAGACTATACTGCTATGGTCCAAAATTAATAAAAATGTTACCAATGTAAAACCTTTAAGTTTTCATTTGCTCCTCTATTCATACTGAACAATATTATTATGAGAACAAATAGATCCTTTCACATCATCTGATAAAAATTACTTACCAGAATAAAATTGTGCCTTTTCTTAATAACCCTGTTACTCACTGGAAGATTCTTTAATGGGGAAAACATACTAAAGAGAAATCAGTTAAAGCAGTATATCACACAGCCCACTCTCAATTTTACTGACTCTCCATTCAACAAATATTGTGAACTTCTACCTGCTAGGTGTTATAAGGTATTTAAGACTTAACAACAATAACAACAAATATATTACACTATAGTTCCTTTGAGATAGGACTTTATCGTTTGGAAGACAAAATCAGGTAAGTAGAAGGATAAAGTACTACACAAATAGATTCCCAGAATAGTGTGGAAGTTAAAGGAGAGAAAAGCTTCTTTCTAGAAAATATCCCACTTGAACAATGAAAATATGCCTATTTGAAATAACTTCATTAGAAAACTGTAGCCTCTGACCTGTAATTATACTTTAGCCAAAAACTTTAATTTGTGTGAAGATTCAAATGTACACTAGAAAGAGAGACTACAAGTCATAATTTAACTTACAATTCAAAAAATTTTTAATTTAAAAAGATACTTCTATTCAGATGTTATCACATGAATTATCAAATACTACTTTGGAAGAATAACATTACATAACTGAAAATACTACATTTGTACTGAATACTTGCATAACAAAAAAAGAAAATGATTTTTTAAAGTTTCCATATTCTATAAAACAAAGCTTAATAAGAACTGTCAGACCAATAGAAAAATAAAAATATTTGACTACAGAACATAAAACTAGATCTGAACAAATGGAAAAAAAGGAATGTTTTTTTGTTTGGGAAATGGTGAAACTGTAAAGCTGTCTGTCTCTAAAATACCCTACTACATTTAACAGAGACCCAAACAAAACCTAAGCAAATTTTTTTTTAATGCAACTTAACAAGCTGATTTATTAAAAAATCTGTTTAAGAATAAGGTCAAAAGCACCAAGCACAGTGATGCACACCTGTAATCCCAGTGACTCAGGAGCCTGAGATGGGAGGATCACAAGTTAAAGGCCAGCCAGAGCAACTTAGTGAGAACCTTTCTCAAAAAGTAAAAAGAGCTGAGGAAGTAGTAGTTCAGTGGTAGAGTGCCCCTGGGTTCAATCCCAGTACCAAACTGAAAAAAAAAAAAAAAAAAGGAATAAAGGCAAAATAATTACAAAGAAACTTTCTGAACAAGAAAAATTAAGAGATATTTGTCCTGTCAAAAAAAGAAAATGGTGAGGGTTGGGACTGTAGCTCAGTGGGTATGAGCCTCAGCACCATATAAAAATAAAATAAAGTCATTATATCCCTCTACAACTAAATATATATATATATATATATATATATATTTTTTTTTTTTTTTTTTAAAAACAGTTAATTTAAAAAGATCAGGAAGGCTGGTTGAAATCAAAGAACTTACTTGATCTATCCAATGTTCTCTAATAACCTATAAATTGTCAATGTTTTTAAATCAGAAGATTTCATAAATAGTCAGATTCCCGGCTTCCATTTTAAAAAAACAAGCTGGGGGGGGGGGGGGGGGCCTGGGGTTGTGGCTCAGTGGCAGAGCGCTTGCCTCGCGCATTGTGAGGCCCTGAGTTCGATCCTCAGCACCACATAAAAACAAATAAACAAAACAAAGATTTAAAAAAAAAAAAAGAAAAGCAAGCTTCATAACACTGGGACCAGTCTTGTACAGCAACATTCAAGTTGGGTCTCAACAGCAGAGATGTTCACTAATCATTAATTTACTCCCGTCCCTTCAAATTTATACTATGTTTGCCTCTAGTGAAAGCCAATATTTCATGTACCTAAAGATGTTAAAACAGTAAGGTACTAGCAAAGGAATAAAACATGTCAACAGAAAAATTATACATGGAGTTATCTGTAAGAATTGTTATACATGGAATTTCAAATTAGTCAGATTCTATAAACAATATTGGTAACAACACTGAATTGGGTGAGAGTAGAGAATCAACTTTTTCCTTGTTCACACCATAGCTAAAAACAATGTATGAGTTAATCTTTTTTAACTTGATAAATCTGCAAATTTTAAAAGAAAAAAATAATAGGTTGATTACATAAAAGTGGAAAATATCAATATAACAACAACAAAATGTCAAAAAGCAATACACTCTAAGAAGCAAAGGTCAAAATTCCTAAACACCTAAAAAGATAAATTATTAAGCTAAATGTGGTGGTTCATGACTCTTCAGTGACTCAGGAGGCTGAGGCAGGAGGATCACAAGTTTAAAGCCAGCCTTGCAAATTAGCAAGGCTCTAAGCAACTTAAGGAGACTGTCTCAAAACAAAAAAATAATAAAGGATGGAGTCACAGCTCAGCCTTTAAGCACCCTGCGTTCAATGCCTGATATCAAAATATAATAAAACAAAATCCAATTATTAAAAGGGACACAACTTTAAGAAAAATTCAGCAGGGGACAGTAACAAACAATTCACTGGAAATAATAACCAATAAATAAATATACCCATTATCAATCAGGAAAATGCAAAATTCACTATCCATGTTGTTAAAATAATTCCACACATCTGATTATATAAATTGGTATACAGCATTATTAAGATACAATGTGGGCCAGGTGCAGTGGCACATGCCTGTAATCCCAGCTTGGAGGCTGAAGCAGCAGAATCCAAAGTTCAAAGCCAGACTCAACAACTTAGAGAAACCCTGTCTCAAAATATAAAATAAAAATGGGCTGGGGATGTGGCTCAAGAGTTAAGTATCTGTGGGTTCAATCCCTGGTAGAAAACAAAAAACAAAGAACGAAGATACAACTTAGCAATGCCTACCAATTTTTAAATGCATATACTTTAACATGCACCTAACCTATAAAATTACTATCACATAACTGTTAACATATAAAGATAGTTTATAACAATTATAGAAAAAATAAACAGTGAAAAGCATAATGCAGCCATTTCTTTCTTTTTTCTCCCTTTTCTCTTATTCGAGGTACTAGGGAAATGAACTCAGGCCCTAGCAGGTGTTAATAAACAGGTGCTATACCACTTAAGTACATCCCCAGCCCTTTTTATTTTATTATTCAGACAGGGTTTCACTAAGTTACCTAGACTGGCCTAGAACTTGGCATCTTCCTTCTCTGCCTCCCTAGTAGCTGGGACTATAGATGTGTATGTGCCATACCTGACTTATGCATCCATTTCTATAGATAAGAATACTGGACCTGGACCTATCAAAACCAACATGGAAAGATCTAACACCCTAAATGCAAAAAGAAAGAAAAATTATACTTGGTATGATCCTAAAAAAAGAAAATAAAATGATATTACATGAAAACACACTGATAACAGTCTATCTTATATTGGACAAATAGTCTACTGTTTTGGAAGAGAAGTAGAATTCAAAGTTATCTGGCTAAGCAGCAAGAAAGCACTAAAAAATAATGAGGTCAGATGGGCATGGTGGCACACTCCTGTAATACCAGCAGCTTGGGAGGCTGAGACAGGAGGATCCCAAGTTCAAAGCCAGCCTCAGCAATGGTGAGGTAATAAGCAACTCAGTGAAACCTTCCCTCTAAATAAAATGCTAAGCAACTCAGTGAGACCTTCTCTCTAAATAAAATAAAAAATAGGGCTGAGGATGTGGCTCAGTGGTCAAGTGCCCCTAAATTCAATCCCCGGTATCCCAAAAAATAAAAAATGATGTCATATATAAAGTATAAAAGAATCAGCTTAAAGGAGCTCCCACTGGCCAAATTTCAGATAATTCAAGCATCAGAAATTAACAATGATGATGGGCATGGTGGGACATGTCTGTAATCCCAGTAACTCAGGAGGCTGAAGTAGAAGGATCACAAGTTCAAGGCCAGTCTCAACAAATCAGAAAGTCCCTACACAACTTAGTGAGACCCTGTCTCAAAAGAAAAAAGAAAAATGGCTGGGGATGTATTTCAGTGGTAAAGGGTCACTGGGTTCAATCCCCAGTACCAAAAATAAAAATAGTGACTTACAGTAACAGAGAATAAAATTCCACAAGCCTAGCACGATTAAATCAGGTGGAGAGGCATTTATATTACCTTTATTAACAGCTGGTATGAAGAGGAATGATAGAGTTAGAAAATCACTATCTGTATGGAGCCCCTACTATAGTTAACTGATTTAAGACAAATATCAATAATGGGTGTGAAATTATTAGATAACAGGTTGTTAGAGAAAAAAAATACTCAAACCACTACAAAGGTATTATCCTACAGCTTACCTCTACTTGCAAAGGGGAAAATGTACCTTATATATGGGGAGATCTTAAGTTTGGTTATCACCTTAACCAAGTGACTGCATCACTATTACTAAAATAGACATGATTTTTTTCTTTTTCTTCTTTTCTTGGGGATGGGGGCAAAATTCTGGGGGGATTGAACCCAGGACTTGGTCAGTGTCAGGCAAGGACTCTACCACTGAACTACATACCTAGCCTCACATACAGCATTTTGTTCCTCCTGTAGTAACAGTTTTAAGTACACAAAATCACCTAAATATTCTGGCAAAAACAATAACAAAACGTTTATTCTTAATCCAAACAAGGCCTACCTAATCTCCAATTCATAAGAAATAGAAGGGCTCCAGAGGAACAAATTAAAAGACAGTAAGACAAATCCAGAAGATTCTTTGAAAAGTAGGGGGGTTGGGTGGGGGGGGGTTCCAGACAAATTTAAATATGAATAGGTAGTAAATGTTGTTATGCCACTCTTAATTTTCTTAGGTAATTGATGGTAATATGATTGAAAAGGAGACTGGAATCATTCTTGAGAGACAAATGAAGTATTTAAGAGTAAAATATCATGACAGCTACCACTTACCTTCCTCTGATACAGCAAAAAGTACTACACACACATACATCTCCTATATTAGTTCTCTTAATTAACTAGAGATAGAACATGAGCATATAAAGGAAAATGCTAACACTTGCTGATTATAGTTAGAGGTTATACAGATGTTAGTTTTATTATTTCAACTTTTTAAAATTTCTGAATATTTATAAAAAAAAAGATGTAAGTGAGGAGGAGATAATTTACTTGGTCATCCAATAAAGTGAAATGTAACAATGTACTAAAGGAGTACAGATTTGCAAAATCGAAAGGTCACACAAAACCTTTGCTAATTTTTGTGAGACATAAACAAAAACAGTTCACCAGGAATAGGAGAGGCATATAAGATATGCCTAACAAGATTATACAAACCATTCTCTTTTAAAATTTACATGGAATAAGTAAATAAAGATTTCTTCTAACTTTAGGTTTCCTAAAGCATATTTTAACAGAAAAGATGGTTTCTTTAAAGTATAAAAGATTTTAAAAACAAAATTTTTAAACACGAAATGACCGTTACTTTAAGGTATATGGGGGAGAAGAAATGGGGAGGCTGGCTGTGAGTGGTTCCTGCATTATAAAAGGATGAAAGAAGAGCAGGCAGGAGCCAACAATAGTTTCTCTCTTACAAACAGAGCTCTAGGTCTGTAATACAACATTGTTACAGTATTAGATAATATGCTCATTTTCACTTTCCTAGTTGTAAAATAATCTAACATAATCTGAGTTAGGAAAAGACTAAACTAAAAAGTAATAAATCCATAAAGAATGTGATAAATTAATAAGGCCACCAAAGAAAATTAGAAATAACTGAGATAAGGCTGAGGGTGTAAAGCTCTGTGGGAGAGTTCTTGCCTCACATGTACCAGACCCTGGGTTCAATTTCCCAGCACCACAAAACAAACAACAAAAAACAGAAACAAATAAATGAGAATACAATTATGAGATTCATATCACACAGGGAAGAGTCTCACAAAATGACCCAGTTATGATAGTTATCATAATGAATAACTAAGTCAAAGAGAATATTGGCATTTCTAATACTCATCTTAAGATACTGTATTATATCCCAAGACAGTGGCAAATTTTTTCCAAACTTCTCAGCATAAACGATAATTCTGAAATGTTATAAGCAAAGATGTACATAATAAAGAAAATTCATTCACTTAAGGCTTTTTAAACTAACTTTGGAGGTAGGGATTAAGGGAAGTTAAATCATTTCTTACTCCAAAGTGATATTTTTCCTTTTCACTTACCTATCAGCATCTTTATCTTCAGGCAGCATAGGAGGCAAAGGTAATGGTGGTAATGTAGAAGTCACTAAAGACACATGTTGCTCCTTCTCTTTAGCTCCTATGCTTGGCGTAAGTGGTTTGGTTTTCTCTTTAAGAGATACTGGTTCCTCCTTTGTAGCAGCAGATTTACTCTCCTTCCCAACTACAACTGTTTTCTTGGTGGCTTTATCTACAATCAAGTTATTGTCTACCTTTGTTACCTGAAGAGGTGGCTTTGTTTTTGCCTTATCATTTTTTAAAGTTCCACCACTTGAGGGAGAAGGTGCATGCTCAGTTTTAAGTTTCTTCACATCCTTCACATGGTTTGTCTGTGATACACTGGCACCAGTTTCTGTGTTCCCCTTGGTAGGTGTAGAAGTGTTTGAGGCTTTTGCAGCTTTGGCAGCTGCTTCAGCAGCCTTAGCTGCCTCAGCAGCCTTAGCTGCCTCTGCAGCTCTTGCTGCCTCTGCAGCTCGTGCTTTTTTATTCTTGTTCAATTCAGCTGCCAGGCTACTCTTCAGAGTTAGTGTGCTGGGAGAAATGCTAGAATGACGACTTCTGGATCTAGACAATCTGTGCCTGCTACGAGATCTTGAATGCCTAGATGAATATGGACTTCTGCTTCGGGATTTAGCAGATCGTCTGGTGGAAAATAATTAAGATTTAGTTAGTAAATGAAAAAGTTAGTCTAAAATTTACAAAGAGTGCTAACTTAAGTTTGTGAAATGAAATGAAGCTTATTTAATTTCAAAATTATAATATAGCTTCCCTGGAAGACTTTTTAAAAATCAAAAAGTGGTTTATAGTTAAAAGATGATCCAGTGAGGTTGGGGATGTGGCTCAGCGGTAGAGCACTTGCCTAGCATGTACAAGGTTCCAGGTTCAATCTCCAGCACCACCAAAATAAATAAATAAGAGTGTGTGTGTGTGTGTGTGTGTGTGTGTATACATACATATATATATATATATATATGAATGAATGATCCAGTAACTATAATTTTCTTGAAAATAGATTGTTCCTTCTCTGGCCTATAAATGCTCAAAGGTGAAACTGGATTAAAGTATACCTTAGTAAGAAAAAGAAAAGACTGTAAAAATCAGGAAGATTTTTAGTAAGAAAAAGAAAAGACTGTAAAAATGACAAAGCATCACTGTTATCTCAGAAAACAGAAGAAAGCAATGAGGATATATCAATTTACCAGGAAAACAGTTTCTACATTTCCAAATACCCATGAAGTTCAGAAGTAAGTAGTATTCTGCCTATGTCAAAAATGAAAAAGACAAAAGCAACCATCAGGGAATGAATGAATGAATGAATGAATGAATAAATAAAATAGTTTCTGAAGATTAATTTCAGAAAGATAGTTACACACTGACTAAAATACACATATGCATTATCGCTTCACCCACCTAAACACAAAATGGCACAAAATGTATACATTCAAAAATTATACAAAATGGCTTGTATGCATGACTTCATACAGGAAATACAATGAAAAAAAACCATACAACCATTCTCAATCTGAAGTGCTATTGATAACCTTTTCATAAATAAATGGCAAAAAACTTATATGTATGTATAAAACGGAGTCTTCAAAGTGTTTGACAATTATTACTTTATTTTACCATAATACAATAAAAAACAGGGGCTGAGATTGTGGCTCAGTGGTAGAGTACTTGCCTAGTACATGTGAGGCCCTGAGTTCGATCCTCAGCACCACATTAAAAAAAGAATAAACAAATAAAATTAAGTTATTTAAAAAAAAAAAAAAAAACTAGGTAAGTGTTATACTCCAATTTCTCAGAAGAGAAAAGCCCAGACAGGTAAAGTAAGCATAACTCTCACAAAAAGCAATACCACAAATAAAAATATAGTCTTAACTAGAAATTTAGGTATCAGGCTCCAGACTATAAAATTATAAAAAACTAAATTCTGGAAACTACTTAATAATAATGGTATAATTCACTATCGAAAATTACTGGAAAATCCAAAAATTACTATAGATTTAAAAATATGAGGGCTGGAAATGTAGCTAAGAAACCACTTGTCTTAGCATCTGCAAGGCCCAGAGTTCAATCTCCAGCACCATAAAAAATATACCTATATGTATATATATGATGGAAACCAAAATTCCAAAACAAATTAGCACAGCATCAAGTGAAATGAAGCTGAGTTTTCAAAGCTTTTCAAAGCCACACGTTATGAAAATAAAACAATTTAATATACTCACAAGACAAAGACTCTTGATACTATTTCTGCATGTTACTTAATGGCCACATTAGCCTAATAAAGTACATACATTTAACAGAGGAGAAACTTAAGTGTAATATTGTTATCTGAAATCAGAGTCACATTCCTTAGTAGTTGTGTTGGTTATTATTTTATTACTATCTTATCTAGCAAATACTCTTCTGCCTTATTCTGTACCCAAGTACACTAACTCCAACAGATTCATCTGGGTTCCAGAGCTGTCTGACACTGGCAGAAGACCGGAAGGCAAAGAAAGGCTAGATTATTTCTTCCCAGCTCCCTCTCTTTTCTCCACAGTCCTAACCAGACTCCAACAGCACAGTATTTTTCTTGCCACTTCAAGGTTCCTTGTTACTAGCAAAAACATACCTTATAAATTCCCTTAATCCACACCACCTCTGCAGTTTCTTCATTAAAACCTCTTGAACCATCTAAATTGGATCCCATTTACTTCTAGAACCTTGACTGACCTTGTTGTACATCAGGTCTTAAAATCAGATTTTTAAACAAAATTAGGTAGGCCAACGCAATGAACATATTGCCATGAATACAGGTCTTACTGAAATTCTGTAAAAATTATAGGAATAAGGTAATTGAAATTTTGTAGAAATTATGGGAAGAGGGTAAGTAAATGAAGAAAAGAAACTATAGGGGCTGGGGTTGTGGCTCAGCAGTACAGCTCTTGCCTAGCACGTACGAGGTGCTGGCTTCGATCCTCAGCACCACATAAAAATAAATAAATAAAATAAAGGTATTGTGTCCAACTATAACTAAAAAATAAATATTAAAAAAAGAAACTATAGGACTCCATAATTAAAATCAGACAAAGTAATTGGAAATTTCTGTGTATAGCTGACACTAATAATATTGTGGAAGGAGGTGTTAAAAAACATTCTGCATTATAATATGAAAACAAAATGATGATTAAGGTTAGGATAAACTCAAATGCAATTCAATTTCTCTCTCATCCTTTCAAAAATAAGTATGTGTGAAGGGCCAACTAGTGTTCAGCATTGAGACAGCACTTCAAACAAACCGTGTACTTTACATAAAACTTCATGTTAAGATTGTTTCAGATTAATGGGAACACTATCTTAGAAAATAATCCAACACTTGCTTATTATTAAGTATTCTTATACCACCAATTTAAAATTACCAATAAACTTACAATTATTTATACAAATGAGCAGAAATGCTTGGTTAAATGTGAAGTCATTAAGTTGGTTGCAAAATAACTTGGGTATCTTTAATATGGAAACAAATGTTATAAAACATCTGGCCATATTTTTAATTTCCTCTCCCTTCAAACTCTGTTGATCTTAAAACAAGTCTGGTGTAAGTCACATTTCTATCCCCTGATTAGATATTGGAGAGCAGTAGGAGAAAGCAAAGAGACCACTATCTCATCAAAGGTAACAGGACAAAAGGCTTAGAAAGCAACTTTTCTAAAATGAACTTTCCAACACTAGCAAAACTATCAGTTTTGTACAAACGCAACAAATTATATTTAATGGAGATGTTTATGAATGAATCCTGTCTAAGAAAAGACATACAAAAATAGGTCAAATCCCAACAAATTAATTCTTCTGGTTTATTGAAGTATTCTCTTACAAACAAGATCTGAATAAAAGAACTATCAGTTAACTTAGAAATTTTCTATTCTGTAAAAAAGGGTATTCTGAATATGACATCTTTAATGGTACTTGAATGCTATACCAAATGATTTTAGATTCACCCTCCATTCCTCCCAAACTCCTCTATTTCTTTACAAAATTTCCTTATCTTATATCCTAAAAACTTTCATTCTCTCAGACACTGCAAACTTGCTAATAAATTCTAATAATATATTTACCGCTTAAAACAAACATGGTCTGGGAACATAAAATTAAGTATAAACACAAAACTCAAGCTTAGGTCATTATCTAATTTAATACTTAAGCCATACAAAGTTATGAAGGTGAGAGAAGTGTTCTTTAAAACTTTATTAACAAATTATACCATTATAATGTCTTACTAAAAGACTTGGAACAGGGTAGTAGTACACATCAAGTCTAACCTTTTATAAATAAGATATTATTTTTAAAAAGTGATTCTAATATTTCTATTTTCTTGAATCCACAATGAACACATATTAGCTGTTTCTTGATTGTTTTCAATGATTTTAAAAGGACCTCTTTAAAAAAGTTAGTCAGGTGTGGCAGCATACACCTGTCACCTCAGCTACTCTGAAGGCTCAAGCAAGGATTCCAAGTTCAAGGCCAGCCTCAGCACTTTAATGAGACTGTTTCAAAGTAAAAAATAAGTAGTTCAGTGATAGAGTGCCAGAGACTCAATCTCCAGTAACACACACAAAGAGTTAAGAAACTTCACTATTTTTGTAAGAGTTTTTCCTAAATTCACACAACTCAAATAGAACCAGGATTAAGCTAATTAGTCTTCCTTAGAAAGAGAACATGGTATACTGCTCACTCAATTATATTAGGCTCTCCAAAAATCCAGGTCTTCGGAAAATTGTGCCTAATTAGCAAACACAAATTCTGGCAGCTTTATCCCCCACACCACCACTACCACCACCACCATCACAGCTCCTGTCATGCAAACTTTTCTCCACAGCTATGACCAGACTCCAAAAATACTATATTTTTCTTACCCCTTTGGAGTTCCTTGTTACTAGTTTAAAAAAAAAAAAATCCCCAGTGAGTTCCTTTGATCTATCCCCTTCTGTGGTTCCTTCATTAAGTCTCTTGAAATGTAAATTGGATTCATTTCTTTCTACAAACTTGACTCATCTAGCTGTACACCAGGACTTAAACCCAGATTTTTAAGTGCCTACATCCAAATTTTGAGCTTCCTAAGAGTTTTACTATAGTAATGTCCAAATCTTTATTATATAAAATATTTGAGAACAGAATCATCCAATAGACCTTTATGGGATAATAGACATGTTCTACACGTGTGATGTTCAATACAGTAGCCAGTATCTATATTACTTTTGAACCTAACGTTTCTATCTGCTTTTTTCACATTCTAAAAATTCTGTTATTGGCAAGACACGATGGTACACGCCTATAATCCCAGCATCTCAGAAGGCTGAGGCAGGAGGATTGGAAATTAGAAAGATTGCCTTAGCAAGATCCTCAGCAACTTAGCAAGACCCTGTCTCAAAAAAATAAAATAAAAAGGGCTGGGGAAGTAGTTCAGGGATAGAAAGCCCCTGTGTTCAATCCCCAGTACCAAAGTAAATTAATATTAATTAAAATTTTAAAACCCTGTTAACTTCCTAAATAGGGATGCAAATGCTTACTGAACTGAAAAGCACTGTTGCACTAAATGTAAAGTGGTATTACTTTTTCAAAAATTCATCTCCCTCAAGCATCCCTTTCACTACCTT